TATAATATTCGTACGAATCGAGTTTAGAGCTCGAGCGAAAGCGCTAAAATGTATTCGACGAAATGCCTTTTGGCCGCAACTTTTTTGCCATTCCGAATTTCTTCGTCGTTACCTGTTTCATGGCTTTTTTTGTGCAGTGAAAAAGACTCGTTCCTTTAATGGGCTGTGATAGATGGGATGTAGAGCGGATTCTTCGCTACAGCTTGCGAAACTTTGCTCTAAATTTACCCACCAAGGTCGAGCCTTTCAAAGTTCGCAATGCTGAAACTGCGCTGATGGAAGTTTTTGGAGACAGTAGCAGATCTCGGAATGCCACCTCATTTGATAGACATTTTAGCTATTGGCTACCACTTTTGCGAACATCAGGATAGTTTAAGTAAAGAGAAACATTATATATTTTAAAAGCTATGGTAAAGCTGAACGAATTTCGTTTAAATCATCACATCCAGAACTCCAGTACTTAGAACAACACAAAAAACACTTTTTATTGTACGAGATGAGTGGACCCATAAATTCATTCCAATTTAAAATATTGAGTAGAGCCGGGATACGTGTTCTGAATTCGTCAAAAATATCGAACCCAAGATAAGAGCATACATAGAATAATACTAATCTGTGTCTTTAGCATTCCAAAAGTTATACGATGAGTTATTATTTGATGTCTAATGAAAGCAACTTACCTACACCTTGTTGCGCTGCACACGCCACAGGCAGTCATGATAGTTCCCAAAATTGAAAACTGCTCGCAATTCCTTATACATTGCGATGCAAAATCATAGGACATCCCCCCTCCCCTCAAAAAATATGAATATCTCGGTTTCCGGAAATCGTCATTCATAGCAACCTATAAAATCAGAACCGCCTTTCGATTTGGGGCCGACCACCATCGAAACCCTTGTGAATTCAAGAAAACAATAGCGGTATTCGCAACCTTACTATAAATAGACAAAAGACACGAGGGCAATAACGGAACTGCTAAGAGAGTTGGCGTATAACTAGAAACTACATAAGAATATCCAGCACTGCTCAGTCAGTGTCAGCTCATATGAACAAAAGGCGGATAAAACCGAAACCACCTCGTAAGATCATTGATATGGACGACTAGCGTAGGGTGTTGCAAAGGGTGCTGCCATACCCGTTAGGCTTTTGACTGAAACCAGTGAAGAGAAATCCAACTAAAGACTGAACCAAGGCGGGGCTTTGCTAAGCAAATTTTCATTCAAGGTTATGAGTGTTTTGTTCTATTCAGACCATATTTTTTTATTTTATTCCTTGGTATAGTAGAGAAATATAGACTAGGTGTTCAACGACATTTCGCCAACGAAGTTTTCGTGGTAGTTTCCTGAAGACGAGTGAATGCGTAACCTCAACCTGAGGTTACGCATTCACCCATTTCTAGGAAACGGCAAGTGTTGATTCCCTGCGAGTGCAACAACATATACTGTATTGCGATGACCTGATCAACCAACTGATCTTTACTGTCACACTGTGTGAGGTTTAGTTGATTTTTTCTTCAAACTACCTTCAGGGTAGTAGTCTGGGTGCGCCAAAATCAGTATGATACATGGAAACCCAGGCAGCAGTGAGCATGAAGTGTGAGACACTGAAAAATGTAGGGTGAGGAAACAAAAAAACTGCGAAGGAGATCTGATATAATCCAATGCTCTACAACTGCTTACTCTATCAATTAGCTGGAGCGTAGGGTTCGTAGCAGTCACTATGTATAACTAAACTAAGTAACGAATAGCGAAAAGCGAGTAGCAGAAAGAAAGGCCTGACAAATATCAAGCATCCTTCATACAAGGCGATTAGTATCCGTATTGAGAAATTGTAAGGCAAATCAGGACACGAAGAAGAAATAAATCATTCCAGCTAAGGCACTTCAGAATTTACGTTAACTGAAATGTGATGAACTGCGGAATATTTACAGCGAAATTACTTTAATTCCTTGAACTTCCCATCAAACGCAAATGGGCTGGCTTAGTGAACTAGGTCTGCCTTCAGAACATATCAATATCTGAACTTATCTGATCCAACAGGAAAAGGTTACTGCCGAAATATGGTCTGTCGGATGAGTATTATCTTTTAGCAATAGTAATGACATTTGGAGTCTTTAATTATATCTTACATCTTACAGTTACTCGACCAATGGATCGCGGTAAAGCCTGGTGCCGCATGACTATTATTATATAATGACTATGGGATCCCCGTTCATTTCGTTCAACGACTACTACCAGATGAACATTCTCTACGGTTGCAATGGTTTGTCGTACTACTCTAGTGAGAAGCATTCCAAAAACTGCCGAACCTACAGTCAGATGATTCCGCTCGTTTTCCTCTTCTCACATTCATTTGGATTCTGTTGTCGAACTTTTCCTTTGCCAATCAGAGATCGGAAGAGCGTCGTGTAGGGGCTGCAGCATGTGATCAATCCATCACTATGCGATCACATACACTTACCCGCCGTATGTAATTTCGACGCTTTCTGTGCTAGTTCATACATCACGGATGTACCTTGTTACAGTGCGAGCACAAGTCGTTTTGATCCCACGATTATTTATAAAAGCCTGCGATATATTTTGCACCACACACTTCCAAACCGACTTTAACAGTACATTGCAGAAGCGGTGCAATTCACAAACATCGGCCAGGTGCGAGAATGGCGGATTTCCTCATCGGCCGAAACGCTCGAAATGCATATGTCCTAGTGGCTACGGAGGAGATTTATGCAACGAAAGAGTGAGCAGTTAATTGAGTTAAAGGAATCGTGTTCGAGAACCGCTTGACTCTCCCCATGAATCGATGACTCAAGATCTATCTTCTACGGTGAAACCGTAGTTAACAAAAGGCTTTCATTTTAAACCAGTTTTGCTCCGCCCGCTATCGCGCACATCACACGGCAAGCTTTAGCAAAACTAGAGGACACATGGAATATCAGCATAAGTGAGGAGCTAAGGCTTATCATTTATTTACATTCACCATTATTTGGAACCCCGAAAGGATTGGCAGAGTTTTGGCTTCATTGATATTGCATTAAAAGCGAAAGTTAACATTTGCTGAAGACGTGATTGAGTTTATGCAATCGACTTCCTATTGAATAAAACTGATAGATCGATAAATAGCACTACCGCCACACCTAGAATAGCAATCTCGGTCAACGCGAGTTGGTAATGCGGATCTCGACGACTTTCGTTCTGGACCCCTTCAGCGCTTCCATAGGCCTGGTAGCCCTTCTATCTACGACGGGAGCAATTCCCGTCGTCCAACCCCATACCTTGTAAGTATGGTTGCTCTGGTGTCAGCGCGAGCCAGGTGACGGAGTCGGCAACTTTCGCGTTCTAACGGATCTTATCGACCCTTATCAGTTGCTATTGTTTTTAATCATGTACCACCAATGTCTCGGGACCACCTCACATAACATTTGTAAGTATAGGCGCTCTAGTTCCAATTTGAATGAAAAAGCGAAGTTGTCGGTGCTCGCTTTCTAGCCCCTATTATCTATTTATTAGCTGTTATGCTTTGCTATTAGCTAGTATCAGTCGTTATGGGCTCCTATCACATACCACTTTTGTCCCCATCCAACTCTCTACAACCTATGTAAGAACCAATGTGCTACTACTGTTACAGTGACTGGCTTAATAACTTCGTATAGCATACATTATACGAAGTTATACGAGATTGCGAGAAGCTCATATAATTGAAAAAATCATATCGTTGCTTAGAATTCCTACCGTAGAACTGTCATGAGGGTTGGTTTCTCAAAATGCGGCCAAAAAATCCTTTTGGTCTTATCATCTATAGGTACAACATCTCACTTGTCCACTGCATCTTGAGCTGTCGCTTTCTTGCCAGTACTTTCCAACCACGTAAAGTACTGGCAAAGAACGACAGCTCAAGATGCAGTGGACAAGTGAGATGTTGCACCTATAGGAGCAGCATTAATTGATTGTATTCGTGTGAAGGAGGAAGCGATCATTGTCCGTGAATGAGTGGTGATCAATCTTTTGAAGAAAGTGTCGTTTTAGCCATCAGGATGCGGCCAAACTCTCCAAGCTTCTTCGAACTGGACGACCCTCTCGGATCTGCTAGATTTCCAAGGCGGTGGCGACTATACGGAATGTTACTACTGGATTGAAGTATGTCCCATGCCTCAGGTGAAACGCTTTGAATTTGCTATGATTTATGTGTAGCTTGAATAGAATAGCATCTAATGGTCAATCGTTCTTTGAATCGTTTAAATTGTTTCTGCTCCGGTACCATGCCAATAAGCAGTAGAAAAGCTTATTTCATCACGTCACAGAAATAATCCTGAAATTTTCAGTCTCCAAGTGGAACCACAATCGAAGTGAAATTAGCGGATTTCCCATATGGTTATGTTGGTACAGGATGCAATGTTGCTGGTTTCGAGCTCAAAACCAACAAAAACCAAACACTAACTGGTTACAGGTACAGTTGTTGTGTAAGGGTTTTAAGTTTAAAAGAGAAAAGAAACCGAATGGTAGCAAGTTAGAGTGTCTTCATAGAATACAACCTGTGTTGAACGACTCAAATTTTTCTGAGACGCAACAGTTTGTGCAAGCGCAAGGAGAGAACATGGTGACCAGAGAGCGATGAGCTATTTCTCTTCCTTGCCTCTAATTTTACTCTTCATTCTAAGATTTCAATTGATTTCTATTTTGCCCTTGAGCTCCATTGCAGGAGTTTCAAACAACAGCGATGAATTCAAAATAAATTGAAGGTTCTGCACTCCTGACGGTATTGGACATGTGTTTCAATCTTACACAAATCGTGTGCCAGTGATCACGTACAGCAGCGTTCTTTATAGTTTCATAACCACCGACCTCGAATATCGATACGGTACTAGTTATCTGTCTCAGATTGAAATTAATTTAAATAAACACGATAATTTAGTTCCTGCACGTCCAGCTGCCTGAATGGTTTCTGCATATGGTCACAGGCTATCAAAACGATATAGTGTTGAAGTGATTTTTCTTTTGCTACACTCCGCCTGTTTAATAAAGTTTTTTATTGGTGTAAATTCATTTCTTCGTTGGACTCCACATTTTTTGAGTAAACCACATACAATGGAGGCATTTTTGACCACAAAGGTCGTTAGGGGTGTTCTCACGCGTCTTCGTGACAGGTAGAGCCTCAACTTTGCGAAACGAATAAGGGACAAACTTGACAATTAGCGAGTGACAGATAGAGACAAACCGGGAATAGGAGTCATTAACTGTTCCAGAGTACACAACTGAATACCAATCGATATTGAAAAGGCAGTGGTTGATGCTCACAAAATCTCCCTTGAAAAAATTAGGCTGTGGGATTTCCAAGTCCGTTTCGTCGGGAGCATTGCAGTGTAAAAGGAGGCGAATGGAGTTATGGTCAGAAGTACTGAAGGGAGGCATAATTTCGACAGATCTAATGAGACTGCTATCGGACGTCAAAACAATGTCAAGGGTGTTAAGCCCATGAGTAGGCCCAGTAACAACTTGTTGAAGGTTGAAAGAGGCGCAAAACTCTATTAAAGCAGATGAGGAGGGAGTATGCATATTACCACGGTGTCCAAGTGTCTCCCAATCAATAAGAGGGAAATTAAAATCACCAGTAATCAGAATTTTATAGGGGCAGTCCATGATGATATCGTGCAAAAACGAGATAAGCTCATCAAAATCGGCTTTACTACATGAAGGACTCCTGTACACTGTAGCAATCAATATAACCTGGGAAGCTACACTAAGTTGTACAATAACAATTTGACAAAACTCGGAGAAGTTCTTAGCCGCAACAAGAAGGTGAGGGACACCTTTACGGACTACCACCAAGACTCCACCTCCCAGCCTGTCCCCAGCTCTGTCACTCCGGAATACATTGTATTTTCCATTAAGGGATAACGTGGCATCGTGAATGGCACATGGCTTGCACCAACTCTCAGTAACTAGAACGGCCAAGGGGTTGTGCACTAGCAACATGTTGAATTCAGGCAACTTATTCATAATTGAGCGCGCATTAAAAAGCAACACACTATTAGAAACAGAGGGAGTGGCTAGAACAACTTTACGCTTACCCAATAGCTTGGTAAGTTCCGCGCCCAAAAGTGTATCCTAGCGGGAAATTGAAGTATCTTGCCCATAGGTCAAGGCAGCGATGCTATCGATTGAATCTGCACACACTACCGGTGCAGGATTGGATATGCAAGGCAGCATAGCAGATTGATCGATAGACCCTATCGGGCAAGCGCCAGGAGGACAGCTAGAACCGGAATAAATGACAGGGTTAGAGGCAGAACAACCATTTGGCTTAGTCCGCGGCAAATCGCGAGAAGTGCGAAGTTTGCAAATCTCAAAATCTCTGACTACATAAAGAAGCTTACCTTCTTGTTGATTGAAGCAACCCTGCCTTTTTGCGTAAGTAATGGTCATATTCGAGTTCTTCTTTAGTGTAATCACGTCTAGCGAACGAATGCACAAAACGCTCCGTTAGAGAAAGACGCCCCTTTTTCATGAAATCCAAGAGCCGATCTCGAAGCATCTGAGATGGTAAAGAAATTTTAATTATTCTTGGGCGATTACGAGGTAAAAGATGGAAAACGAGCAAGTTGCCAGCCTTCCACTCTTTGAGTAATTCATCATCACAAGAATCCACAATTACCTGATTGAGGGCTTCCCTGTCAAAAGATGAAGTGGAAACATCGTCCTTGAGTTCGTCAATACCGACCCAAACTATCTTACACTGCTTATCAGCGACGCTTTTAGAATCAGAATTGAATTTCACAAGAGTGGAGTAAAGTTCATTCCTAGAAGTTTCACTAACTGCACGTTCATTCAAATGATGGGGAAAAAACAGAGCATACTCATACTCATCAAAAAGAGGAATTCTCAATGTAAAACTTGATCTTATACAAGCCACTCACACTGCACTTCGTTGGCATGCCGGGTAGCAATGAATAATTGTTGACATGGTGACAGCTTTGGAGCAATTACATGAAGACAACACTTCCATTCCGGAGCCAGCAAAATCAAACAATGCTTCACTCTGCAACGAAAGATGGAGAAAATATAGGGTATCCTAAATTCATGAGCTCCGCATTACAACAGGACTAGCTAATAAACCGATACTCATGCCTACTTTCTCCATATCAATAGTGACGCTCAGTTGGATAACGGTCCCATCATCCATCGAGTCAGAAGCTTGCAGACGTGAGCTTCCAGTTCGTCCCCTAGCTCTACTACCAACTTCAAAAAGAGGAAGATGCAATCAAATATGGGACTCTGAAATGAATACAAACCTTTGCTTTCCGAACAGAACGTGGTTCGCAAGGCCTCTCGGACATAAGTTGCTCCGTATGGTATTGAACATATCGCTGGTTCGATAACGTAATCTGAAAGCACTCAGTGGTACTCAAACAACTCATTTGAGGCACCCTGTACAAACCGTCATAACGGACACCAGGTTGAGGCGATTAGCAACACCGGTGGTCACACCGTATGCTTAAAGGATCAAAGACGGTTGGCGCGTGATTGCAGCACCCTGGAAATAACAACAATGACATCATTTATCTCAGTTGACGAACCTTCGAGGAATTCGGATAAAACTGTCACGTGCCTAGAATCCGACGTCCTTCGAGGCAAGTAAGTAACTCGCCGATAAGGGTGTTAGGGATGTTTGGAATTGCCAGAAGGACCTACGGAGATGAAGGGATTGTAATCAGACCAAAAGACCAATAGATGCTTCCGCCGCAGTTCTAGATGAGATTGCCAGGAATTAAGCAATTACAAGAAAGCACGTTGCAAACGATGCATCAAGCGGAGGTAACTACAAGGAAACAAACGATGCATCAAGCGGAGGTAACTACAAGGAAACTGACCTGCTGAGTTCTAGCATTCGGGAAAAAAACAGGACCATGGCGACAGAAGATAGAAAAGCAATAATCCGCCGGAGCATCACCACGTACGTGTTGTTGGAGTAACGACCCTCAAGAACACGAAATGCTTATAAATCAGCATTGCACTTACCCTCAGCTTTCTGCCATCTCCTTCATATTGTTTCACGCCTTGCAATGCATCTCGCCGCCAGCTGTAATCGCAGTAGTGAGCGCAAGTTTGTGGACAGTTAAACAGAACGAAATCAGCTACCTCGCCAGAAAAAAAACCTTTCTTCCTTCTTCTCTTTCTTTCCCTACAGGCACTCTCTCCGAGACGTAAGCAATGTGGACAATATGTTCAAAGAGGAGTGGGGAGAAGGGTTGAAGGGGGGGGGGGAGCGGAAGGGGGAGGGAAGAAGCATCGTGTCGGGGGAAGTTGTTTTGATCATGTCTTCCCTGGATCTGAGCATTGGACGGCAGCCGCTTAGGGCTCACATTCAGGGAAGACAACAAAACCCGTTTGGCCAACCGCAGTGCTCGGAGTTCCTTGGCTATTTAAAGCAATATTGGTATCGTGGCAATCTATGGAACAAATGAAACGTCAAGGAGCTGCGCACAATAAACGTAGCGGAGGCGCTTAACAGGTTCACAATGCACAAGTATGGCTCTCCTTAAAAGCACACCAATTCTATTTCAGTCTTCTGGCCGGATTGGTGAATGGTGTCAAGTACTATGGGTGACCTGCTTGTTGCTCTGCGAGGAGACGTCACCACCTCGTTAGGAGCTCTCATCAATAATGAAGTAGTTGGTTTCAAGGAGTATCCCTACAGTAAAAAACTTTTCCCAATTATCGGAGTTCTCCACTACAAACGGAGCCTCAGGTGGGTTGGAAGATGAAGTGACTTTCGTTTTACATCCGGAAGTTCGCATGAAAATCTCAACGTGGCTCCTTTTCAGTTCACGAAAACGTGCGCGGCACGTTCTCCCGTCAGGTCAACCCGCCAAGGCTTCATCGGCGGTTTAACTTCACGGGAGAACATTGTCGTGGTTTTCATCACCTTCGAACATCTGAAGACCACGTCGCAGGGCCGCGTCGTATACCGCCGCATCGGGTGTAAGAAGGAGGGAATAACTACAAGTGTGGCGGTACTGAGTTGGGAAAAGACTAGACCTTTGAAAGAGCTTCACTACTGATGTGATAGCTTAGGTTGCGAATGGATGTGAGCTCATCGGGGATCCCGCTTCGTTGCCGCACGTCTGCCAGCCGTTGCGGAACGCGCAGGACAAAGTCCAGCGCATAGTCTACCAGATAAAGTGATGCTTTGCCTGAGCCAAGTGGCAGTTTGGCATTCATGAGCGAACTTCAGGAAAGGCAGAAATATCGGCCGATCCTAGACTTGCGCACGTCAAGCCACGACAGTTGTGGTAGGAACTTGCCGAAAAAATTCATTATTGTCAGGATGTCAGCTTTACTATTCGTACTTAGATCAAAACGAGAGGGAGGAAATGCACCACTGGCGGATGATAGGCGCGTTTCGATGGAAATGCCGAGGGAGATGGAACGGGTATAACGTGATCTATGGAAAATGGAGGGTTGCCATTACATAAGCTGGAGGATCGGAGCTACTGAGGATTTCGGCTAATAGGGACGCCATTAATGCAGGTGCTTCCCAAGCGCATGGGTGCGGGGTTGAGCTTTCCATGGGGACGGGAACAGGTGTTTTCCCCCGCGCTCCCCCTTACTATATTCGCGCCCTCATGCTCCTTTTTGAACAATAGGGCAATAATCCTGAACAAATAATTATGAAGTGGACGCGGAACTCTGATGGAAGGCTGGTCGTACCTTTCAGATAGTTTTTTCTGTGACGAATCTCGACATCTCTCGGCAATATAATGTAATATCCGATGTAGGATTTGAAAAATTGGAGGGGGCAGCTTTAGTAGAAGGCTTGAGGTTTCATTTAAACTCTGACGCCGAATTCGAGTCCAAGGTCACAGAGAAAGCAGTTCAGATAAAATGATTGAAAAATCATGAGGGAATTGAAACCTCAAAACAGCAAACTCGAAGTATCATTCATTTTATTTCTGGCAACATAATAGAAGACACTCGCAATAGTCAATGTGTCACTATACAACACAGTAAACAAACATTGCTACGATTTGTAAGCAAGATGCGCTTCTTCGAAGGAGCAGTAATCGGCGAACAATAACGACAGCTCTGCTCTCAGCCACCGTTCGCGCCTGAGACCTATGAAGCAAATCTGCAAAGAAAGCTATGCTGTCAGTAGCGCTGCATTGAGAACCTTAAACCTACCGTTGTCTAGTGAACAAAGCCTAAAACAGGCGTCGTCTAAACTGAAGGCAAAAAAACCGAAGGCGTAAAACGAAGGCGAAACGCCAATTCCACTGCGCTATTTTCCATCTCCTGAGTTTTCACGAAGCGATAACTCGCGAAGAGTAACAGGGGTACCTACATAAAAGTCGAATTAATGCCTTACTAATAATATCAGCCTAACCGCAAAGCCAACAGGTCGCTTCAGCTACTTGAAACATTGTTAGTTGAAGAAACCTCGGGTCCACTGATGATTCGCTGCGGGAACCTCGGGTCCACTGATGATCAGCGGTGGACCTGAGGTTCCCGCAGCGGAAAATGTTTCGCGCTGCGAAACGCGAAAAAGTCGCTTTCTGTCCTAGTGAACCACACCCGTAAGCAAGCACACTAGAAAGTAGTTGTTTAGCGGAAGCTTCAGCGCTCATAACTAACCAGTTCCTTTCGCCCAATCCACCTAAGATGTGTCAATGAGAAAAAATGAGTGCTAAATTTAGGACGAGAAACGTTTTCCTCAACGACATACCTTCACACTCTTTCTTGTAATTTGCAGATCCTTTGCAAACCGTTGCAGTACTTCAAAAGCCCTCCTTTCTTGAGTTCATAGTGGCATAGGCACATGCTCTCGACCCAATGAGATTCACGCGATTCACATCGCCCACATCGGAGATTGCCATCTGTCAAAAGAACTAATTCAACAACAAAATTAAACATATGCGCTTGACAGCATTGATGAAGACTGCAGTTACAATTCAAGGTTTTAGTAAAGGCTCAAAATTTATTATATACTTAAAATTCTAAACGGTGCAAAGTGTCGTTGTGGTTTTTTTGAAACCCAAGAACCAATAAGAAAAAAATTGCAAATAAAACTGGATACAGTTACGAAAACCGTCCGTTGAAAGTCGATGAAAATGAGACAAAAATCACCTTTATGTCATTCTCGCTGCAGTTGGGTGGTAGGCGTCCAAACCAAAGTGTCTTCAAGGCAACTCTAACACAACAAATAGTGAAAATTGAGATGACAGACGAAGAAAAATTATAACAAAAACATAAGTACAAATCAGGATATAAAAACGAAAACCAAAAAGAACATTAGCAAGCGCTTCACTCAAACCTACTTGTGGTCAAACCCGCCTGAATAGCAGGTAGTCCCAGTTTTCTCCGTTCACGATCCACCTTTTCGGGTTTCCGATCTCTTGACCTGAACATAACAAATATAATTCCGAACTATGACAAAACATCGCGAAGCCACTCTCAATCAGACAACCCTGCTTCTTCGCTTCTTTATGGTCGCCCCTATCTCGTGATCGACTGCGCTTACGATCTCTCCTACGACCGTCTTTGTCGCTCTGAATTAGAAGTAAAAATATTCAACTGTTCACATGGTTCTTCGAAATAGGATTGAATTGGACAGTAGTACCCGCACCAAATTTCACCCACCTCACTGTCATCTGTCATCATTGGAACTGGCGCCGTCGGCAACGGTCCAAGCAGCTGTCCTGGTGCAGCGCCAAGAAGACCTATTGTGGATGGTGGGGGAACACCACCCAAACCTGAATTTCCACCGCCTGCCGCGAGCTGTTGAAGTATCTCCCATAATAAACCCTTCAAGATTCATTAAACTCCAACCACCGCTTCTGGCGGAAGAGTAACCACATGCCTGTTGTTTAGCCAGTTGAGCCGGATCAAATCCTCCAGCTAAATAGACTTGGTGGACGGGCATGAGCGAATTGTAGGTTAGATAATGCACCGATTTTCGAAGCCTGAGAAACGTTATAGGAGAGAAATTATATTATGGTTACAAACTATTTCACTTACTAAAGAATTGTTCGCTAGAAGATTCTGCAGAGCTTGGTTAGGTTGCGTTGCATTCGCCTGATTAAGAGCAGATAGCTGCGCTAGATTCAGCGAAGGAAGTCCAGCTAAACCTTGGAGACCGGGCAAACTCTGCAGCCCTGGTAAGCCAGCAAGGTTAGGTAACCCAGCCTGGAATAGGCTAACGTCCATAAACTAAAAGATTATATTAAGTATAACGTGCGTTGGTGTGATAACATTGCAAAAAATATTGGAAAACGACGTACGGGAATGCCTTGAGGCAATGAAAGACCTGGCAGGAGACCTTTTGGAAGAGTTATCCCCTGAAGTTGTTGAGTCGTGCTCGTGGAAACAGATGGGGCTATTGTACTTGGAAGTGAAGGCAATGTGCGCTGCGCTTGTGCAGCAATCTAAAGAATTGAAAACAGTGGCTTCCATAAATGCAGCACGAAGTACTTCTCTAGCAATAAGTGGTGCAAAATAAGAGGGTTCTGAATTAGTTACTCCATTACACGTTACCTGGTTTAGGGCAACAATTCTTTCCGCATGCATCCGTTTGAACGCGGCGATCACATTCGAATCTTCTATCAAGTTTCTTGCTATGCTGCAGAAGAACCATACTACGAGCATCACCCTTACAGTATTTTAAGATTTACATTGTGCATAGAGCTAGCGGTTTGATGCATATAGTTCCACCTGCTCGCGAAATTCTATCTCTACAGTATACTACGGAGCTAGGCTGTCAAGCTATATTAATCTAGCGTCACCCTCTCAATACTCTGTTCACATATAATTATGACACCAGATGTAATAAATCGAAATATCTGAATTGGTTTGTAAGAAAACTTATGGAGAAACAAATGCCTGAAAACCATCTGAAAATAGCTGACATCTTGAGAAACAAAACTAACCAGTGGCCACAGGATCAAAATCCAACGTGACCACTCCATTGGGAGCTTTCAGCATGCTTGTTCAATATTCGTACTAAACGCAGCGACTAACAAACGATTCGAACGATTGATCATTGCCGTCTCATTTTATTTGAAAAATTCCTCCCCATGATGTGAAAGTTACGAAGCTCGCTGGCAATATACTTGGAGATAATGAGCGCGTACTCCTCAGACGTATACGACTGCAATGCTTGCTTACAGCTGCCTGTGTGAATATGAATAACTGCTCCACGCCATCAATGAAATCGGCGTCAGAAAATTCAGAAAAGTTCAACTGCAGGCCAAATGAAAGAATAAAGATTTCTTTCTATAACGCCCCTCCCATTATTTTTCAAAAACCTAGTTATGTAGTTCACATCTTTTTACATTGGTTATATAACTTTATCCGAAAAGAGAAAAACGGATTGATTTCGAGGGGAAAACCTCACACGCAAAAGCATAGCACAACGCTCATTTCTCGGTCCACAATCACAAATTACATTTCAAAGAAAAATTGATGGATAAAGCAAAGTACTACTATATCAGGGAGCGACTATATTATATGGAAGTTGATTACAAGAAGGTCACATGTCCAACTACGGTAAAAACTGCGAAAGTGCGGCGGTGTGCAGCTCTATACAAAAGCTAACAGACGGATTTTAACCACATCTACCAGCCAGTTGTATGCAAAAAAATCAACAGGCGCAAACAGGTATGCCACCTCTCAAACAAAACACCCACTGTCTGCGAGAGTGCCATAGGGCACTTTAGCACAATATTGAAGGAATAACTCAGAAATGGAGAACGACGACCATGGTGTAAAGTTAACCTAGCATGGAGAATAGACACAAATATAGAAAACGAATGATCAGCATTTTACGGTCTGGTCCAGCAGTCTCGCTCAGCAAAATCCAACGTTCTTCTTGTCCTGCACAGGCTGCGAACCTTTATGCGCACAGCGGGAGCGCCGCCTGCTCCTTGCATAGGACTCATGCGTGACTTGGTCCCCGATGCCAATGTCAACAACGCCTAAAATGATCAGGTAGCGAACAAATCATAAACGAAAGGTATTCTTCAGCAGTTACTTAAAAAGAGGTTAAAAAATAACAAATAATGGATTTCAGTCCAGTTATATTGACTCTCGACAAAAAAACGTTCGAGTGAGATGCGAAATCTTCATGAGAAACACTGACCTGCTCAACGCATATCGAAGACTTTTCCGATGTCTCCAAAAACAGAGAGTGCGAGTTGGTCAGCATACTCCTGTAATGCAAGTCTCGTTATGTAACCATTCGAAAACGGATACACGATGATATATGCAAAATCTACTCAATGTTATTTAGGGTCTCTACAACCATGCAATCTCACGATTGGAAAAAAATTAAGGTTAGGTCTCGAAATCGATCCATTCTAGGAAAACATTGCATTTACTATGTTGTCCATGATCCATGTCCGTTGTTACTTTTTATTCTGAGGGGCATTTTTCAAGCCATTTTTCCGAAAGCTCGGGTTTTCTTAGGTTTCACTGCCCGCAACTTCTTGGAAAACCAATTTCATGTTTAACAAGCAATAGTTTCAACTGTGGTCTCGTGGCTAGATCCATTTCATGGTGCGTGCACTTTTTTCAGGCGATGCTGCATGTATTCCTCTTCATGACTGCGTCTATGCGGGGAGAAGGCTTTGCATAATTGCATAAAACACATCGAAACCCTCATACAATTATGCAAAGCCCTTCTCTGGTTTGTTGTGCAAGTGTCTACTTATGCAGCACATGCACCTCTCTCATGCTTTTTCTGGAACGTCCTTATGTGTGAGATGGATATTTGGAACTTTATTGAATTTGTTAGTAATTTCGAGCAATCTTGGCGGTAGCGTATACCAAATAAGTATGTCAGGAAGAGGATGTCGAATGGATTGAGTACTGCGCGGAGAGCGAACGGCGAAATGTTTAGCAACAGGAGCCGTCGTGCCGACCTCTGAACGTAATCTCCTCAAGCTACATTCGTACTGAGCAACAGTATGAAAGGACTTGTAGTCCAGAAGACTTCGTAGGAATACGCTTACCTTTTTGTATTTGATAGCTGCACGTTCCACAAGAGCTGTTCTCGCCTTAGCATTCTGCGCGTGATTTCCCGTTCCACTCTACGCAAGTCCTCTCGTGCAGCTTCACACCTCCTTCGTGCGACACGCCCCCTATCTGGTACGTGGCAGAGTGCAGGGTGATGTTCTCTTTGTGTGAGAGGACTAGTGTTGTATTTTTCACAGCTTCACAGTAGAAGCAATCTCCTGTAGCATTAGGGCAGTATTCGTTCTCATAAATCGAGCATTCCTCACTCAAGCAGTCCCTGCATATATGGGATTCAGTCGCAAACTTTAATCTGTCCTCTGCCTTACTTATACTTGGACAATGGTCTTCATAATGATCCCCCACAGCCTTGCAGAAAACACACTTATGGTCTATTGAAGGACTGGTTATATAATAGGAACCGTTCAAGTGCCTCGTGCAGCTCATATTCTTTCTTTTCCAGCTCGTCACGGTGCTGACGGAGGATCTCCATCTCGATCTCGTAACAGTCGGCGCCGGGACTTATCAGCAGGCCATTCTTCCTGCTCCTGCGCTATATGACCGCTGGGATCGTTTTCTTCACGCTTTACTTTTCCTGGATCTCGTTTATTGTGCGAGTAAGTCTGCTCGTGTGCTCCTTCAGGCTTTCTATTGTGATGCTAATTTTGCAGTCAGCCCTGTCTTGTTCCTCTAACCTTAACTGTGATCTGTGGATGAGGTTCTTCAGCGCATATCGGTTTCCAATGCGTGAAATCTGAAGTTTGCCGTCGTCCGGATGGTTCAGCATGTCTTCGTAGTCGCGACCGTGATGCTGCGCCACTGACGACAGATATTCGTAATCGTCAAGAAAGGAGGCATCCATTACAACAAGAATAACACAGTGGAGCTGCGGGAGCAGGGTGAAATGGCGAGGCTGCTTCTGCCCGCCCAGCCATTAAGAAGGGCGGAGCTTTGGGAGGGTTCTTCTAGATTAGATGAAAGCAGTATCCACGCAATGCTCCGTTATACAGCCATCCTTTTCTGCTTTCTACCGAGAATTTTCGCAGCTAAACACTGCCATCCCACTTTCAACGAAATATCCGGCTTAGCATTCGCTACCAACGACGATACACAATATGTGGAACTTTCATTGAGTGAGGGGTGCAAAAACCCCAAAGAAGCCAAGCACTTCAATCTCAATGTGTACGGCATGCTTGTTCTTGAAACCAAGCCCCTCCTGGTGAGGTTTTGAGCGATACATGTGTCATAGTCATGACTAAAATATGGAATACATCAAAACGTTCATTACAGAGCACTTATCCTGACCACTTCACCGTGACGACCTTTGCGGACTTCAACAATTGGCGCTGGCCACGACGACGCGGAGGAGGATTGAAGGACCTATTCGTCGTCGGCAGCTCGAAAGGACGAAAGTTTACACTTTGATTTCAATTTCTATGATGTCACCCAAAGAACTGCAAAATGTACGCGTTTTGTGAACTGGCCTAGTTGCAACATTCCAGTGAAATCTCGCGAAAAAGCATTGCTCGGTTTTTCCAACAGCACGAGGTTCCTTTCCGGACTGTTTTCCTGCTGCTTCACTTCAAGAGTTATCAAGAGTCTAAGGAGTTTTCTGAGAAATTCAGCTTCGTTCAAACTTCAGAAACTAACAATCCAATTTATACTACTGAGTGGAACAGGGTTTCTAAGGAAGATCAGCATTGGCTCTCAAGCAGAGTGAAAGATTTTGTTTTTTCGGTCACAGTGAAGATCCAAGCAAGATGCTGCCCGTGGAGAGACTTTCGGCTTTGCTTCCCAATTCTCACGCACTCCACGTGCTTCCCGTCAACGCGCTCGATCAGCGGACTTCTGTCTCTTACTGCAACCCCACTTGGGCCCTTACAGCTCCTTCCCCTGCGCTACCGAACTACTGTGACGGCGAGAATTTTCGAAGTAGATTACCGCATATTGGTCACCTTCCACGACACCTCAGCCGAACGCGGTGGATGATGACACTGGGAGTGTGGCTTTGTGT